TCTAACCATAATGCGAACGGCCTCCTGTTGCCTTAGCATAGACTAGGGACAAATTTGCAGCGTTTGGTAATCCCACACAATCACCCGTGTCATGATGGCGCTCGGTGACTGTGCCATATCGACGCTGCTGAGCCCTGACCAAACATGCTATGGCCAGCCCAAAAGCTGGGAGCAGGTGACATAGCATAGATGAATGCAACTACGCTGCGTTTGAATTTTATGAACGGCCCCTTCCCCAACAGAATCTTCCATGCTTGCACACATCGAGGGTGATTCAGTAGAAACGGGGTCCACTTGTACGGTGCCACGGTCAAGTCACGAGGACCGTGCCACTGACCATCATGTGACAACGACTAACCTTCTGGAGCAACAACTACCACCAGCAGAAGTATTGAGTTTTGGATTTCAACGATAGAATTGACCGCGTGGTGTGTGCAAGTGATCACGATTGCGTTCCTCTCTAACGGCATTTGAATTGGATGAGCTAAGGGCTATTTCCTGCCACCTCGCCAAGGCGTTCCGAAGACAATCATCGAGAATTCGAAGGTGCATCTGTGTAGCATACATACTATCTTGCGCGAGTGTGTGTGAGAATGTGAGTTCAGTGGTATGTTGGCATACAGACCCTGAAAGGATATGTATATGGGGTGTCAGTGACAGGATCTAGTTGTCAGATGTTGTTTTCTGCGAGTCCAGCTAGGAGCTAGGCATGAGGCCTTGAGGGATTGGTGCCGTCAAGGGATGGAAGCAACACCAACCGTAGAATTGAACCTGATCCGGCGGCTGACGTGAAGTAGTACCACGGAGGCCGTGACCACCTGGCCGGTGGCCCGTACTGAATATGTCAGTGATTGCGCAGCAGAAGGCATCATTGCAGCTGCAATGACACGTATGTCCAAGCTGGAGAACAACGACAGAAGGTATCGGTATACACCGAGGCAAGAAGCTGACGGACTCAGGTTGTCATTGCAGATGCTCATCACTCTGGTCTACTCTCGGCGCTGAAGCCGATGCAGCATGAGAATACCCAGCGTCACAAGGCACTATGTGGGAATCATCGCGGAGAGGAGGGTCTCATTCAAGTGCGATTACTCCGAAGAACGATGAAGTTCGAATCGAAAATGGATTCACGAAACTTTTCAGAAGCTCTACTAAGAAACGGCGGCGATTTTGGGAGCTCCAAGAAGGCAGTGGCTGGATATCAACTGAGCGACTGCCATCGCACATGGAACTAGAAGATCTAGCAATGTGGTGTTTTGGATTTACTTCCGCCATCCGAAAGGTACCGAGAATGAGGCACCCGTCTACGGGTACATGCGCACCATGACCGATCATTTATAGCCACCTATCTCTACGACCGTCTTGTCGATTTGCTTCATGGCGCTAAGGAACTGGGACGTAGGTATCAGCCGATAGTGCCACATAGCGCCAAGCAAATCGTGGGGTCGTTCAATGCATGCAACGATTCTCATCAAGTTCGAGAGCGAGCCTGAGGTTGTGAGAGAAAGGTGAGGTGACAATGTGAAGGAGGGTTGTTGCGGGCCTACCATTGTTGCGATGTCAACGAGCAAGACGGGGTGTGCCGTCTACAAACCCTGATCTTGACGGTGCCAGCAGCAGAGTTCGCTCCCAGCTTACCGTTCTTGTGGGCGTTTTGTACGAACGCATGGGTTTCGAAGACAAAACCATCGGACCCCTATGAAAAGTAGGGTGGGATCTCATGAGATAACGACTGGAGATGTTGTTTGGCACTGACTTTACATCTGCAGCGCTGGGTCGCAATAGCACCGAGCACCTTTCGGAGCGCCACGATAGAAGGCGGCGTTATCAAAATTACGGGGTGGTTAGTGGTGGACCGGAGGACCTTCGATTGCTTCTCAGTCCTGAGAACACGTCTTGACGAATCAATAATTAGCACAAGGGTCCTCGAGGCCGTCACATCGCAGGCAGGCATGGCATCACCGGGCCACGGGTCTACCGCACCGAGGATGACCACAGTGACCCTACACTTCTTTGTCAAGGCCACTCGCATCGGAAGAGGGTTCTGTGTTGAAGGATGCAGGCATCTCGCAGCGAAGCATTGCAAACTTGAGACATGTGGCTTCCAATGGGGTGTTACACCAAGAAGTTAATCAAGTGAGGCCAACCCCCTGCCTTCATGCTCACGGTCGTTGCAACATACGATCGGAAAACCTCTGTCTAATAAAAACGCATCGCTGAGCTAATTTAGGGCGATAAGAAGAAACTTACTCACCTTATCGCTAATATGCAGAACGTTTACGCTTTCGTTCTTGAAGACAGATAAGCCGATAAGCAAATCAAGAGAGGTCCGGGTTAATTGAGATCGTCTAGTAAGATGCGAGGCGAGTTACGCCAGAGTGAGTAACTCCGAGAGGCACGTTGTAAATGATAGTCTGGCGAATGAAAGATAAGCCACAAGCCAGAACGCCCATACCATAGACAAAGCGCAAACCTGAGAGAAAGGTACCAATAAATGACAAGAATAAGATGAATGAAATAAATGTCCTAGACAGCGTGATCATTGTGAAGGGGGGTGTTACATGGACGAAGACGTAAAATGCACAATGCGAGTAAGTAAATATGATATGGACAGGATTGGCGTATGTGCAACAGGCGTGTCAATGCATGAATTAAAACATGTGGTCTGTTCACAATTAGGCGATGCTGTGCGAAGGATAGAAATGGAAGGCCGCAGAACACCAGCTGAGGGATAAAAGGAAGAAGTGGGTTCGTGCCAACAATGCGACCTTTTGACAAGTCAGAGCAACCAGGCATCAAGACAAAACGCGTGCGTGGCTCGACAGCAAATAATAATCCGCAGAAACATGAGCGAGAACAAAACCTACAGTCCAGACCATCAGTAGCTAACTCGCAGGGATTAATGAGGACTGCGTACTAACCATACATCATTACAACAGAATTCTATACGAAGGCAGATATTTAGTCTCTTTGGGGTGGCGGCATGTCCGGTATCAGGTAATGCACAGGGCGACCGTCTCCGAAACTAGCTTTGTGACTGAGTTCCGGGAAGTCAGGGAATTCTGGGGCCCTGTGATGGATGCTATGATTGTCCCCATCGCCGAGGATATCAGTGGATGACGATGGGTGATACGTAGCCGCGGAGGCGGAGCGCGGGGGCTCGGGGCTCGGTAGGAAAGGCGAGAGGGAGATGTCGTTGGGATTGTACGATGGAACAGGTTTACGTGGGGTGCGGCGGGGTTGACCGGAGTTCCCTGGTGAGAGACTACCGGGAGGAATGATAGAGGGGGTCGATGCCGACAGAGATTGATCGCGAGCATGGGAGTAGGGAGATGTGTGAGAGGCCGAAGCGGGCGAGGAAGGGGAGGAGGGCGACGGTGTCATAGGGATCAGTTCCCCCGTTGCAGTAGAATGTTGATAGGTACGATCGACCGAGACTCTGCGGCCTCTGGGCTGGGTCACCGAGGACGTCGAAGAGCGCCTCGTTGTGCGCGTCGTAGTTGTGCTGACGCTAGTATCTCGATTCAACGGTAACGGCGGTAACATATCAGCCATCCCGCCGACTTCCGCGTACTTCTCATCGAAAGGGCTGTGGACGGAGGAGCTGATGTCGTCCTCTGACATGCGTTGGCTCGCTGCTGGGATGGGAGAGGAGAGTTTAGTCCGGGATGCATTGATGGGATTGATGGAATCTGTCCGAGAATCGTGCCTCTGTGCCCGAGTGGAGCGCTCATTTGAGAAAGCTGAGGCGCCACCGCTGAGATACGACCTCGGTCTGTTCCTCGAACGCTGAGCCTTGCTTCCTCCTTGGGAGTCAGAAGAGGCTAGACCTCCCCAGTGATTGGACTGACCGCGTCGAGAGGGAGACTTAAATGATCTAATAAAGAAGAAAGCGGCGATACCGGCCACAAGGATGGCTGCTCCGACAACGATACCGGCTATAGCACCAGCTGATATTCCCCTTGATGATGATGCAGAGACGGGAACGGGGATTTGTGTAGCTGATGCTGATGCTGATGCGGATGAACTGGTGGAAGAACTGGTGGGAGAGGAACTGCTGGATGGCGGGGAAGCGGCTACAAGGCAAGAAACGTCCGTTGAATTGCGGACGAAGAATGGCCTCGACTCAGCAGAGTACGTCCCTTCTGCGATGTAGGATGCCAGTTTGTACCACCCTTGAGGAACATTGACGATGCCCCAGACCAGAGCATTGTCAAAAGGGGAGAAGCTGGTAGAGATGGTCTGGACGACGAGACCGTCCAAATTGGCAAAAGTCGGAATCGCTCTTGGAGCAACGACATCTGAGAGCGGGGGTCTTGTGGTGGTTGGCGTGGGAGTAGAAGATGGAAGTGATGGAATGGAGGCCGTCTGGGAGACATCGTTGTTCGTAACGATCAGCTGAAATGGAGCAGACGGGCCAGCGTATGACCAGAAGATGCTCGCGGACCTGCACGTCGCCATTTCAGTCACAGATCCAAAGAAGAACTGCGGCGTCGACGGCGGGGTAGGCGAAGGTTCCCCGGTAGCTAGAAAGCGTCAGATTTAAGCGACACGGCGTTTAAGAGGCAGCCACGCACTCGAGGATTCCTGTCGCGCGACATGAGGCAGCGCTGGTGCGACCATGGTGCCCAATGCAAAAAGTGACTGAAGAGAGAAGACGAAGGGAATGAGATCAGTGAATTTGTGATGCACAGGGCATGACGAATCAAATCTACCTGGCGCCGTGGGTGCTGTGGGTACCTTTAGCAGCTAGTGGCCTCGCCTTGCGCTAAACTAGCGTGAAACCTGCAGAATCAGAGGCCTGGGGCGGCAACTGCTGAGAACTGCGGTGGTGGGGACCAGCGGGAGAGGAGCCAGCTGGTGGTGCAGAAGAGAGCGACGGCGACACAGTCGCGACCTGCCACCTGCTGATCAAGACGGTGGGAGTTCGCCGGGAAAATGATCTGCGAAATTAGTCCTTTAGCGCCTACAAGTAAAAGCCAAGCTCGTATTCAAACATCGGTTCAATGGTCTAGTGGTTATGATTTCTGTCTTACAGCTGTGAGCACACAGAAGGTCCCCAGTTCGATCCTGGGTTGAACCATTTTTGCTCCTTGCAAATTATTATCAGACTTCATATCCAATTTTTTCATATCTGTATCAGCTTCGAAGAAATCGTCCATTGGTAGAGATAATGACATTACTACAGATCTCGGCGGGGTCTAATAAACGCTCATTTCTACTCGAAGGACAAGGCTATGAACCAAAGTATGCTTGGAGAACATGCTTCGCGACATTGAATCCAACCAAAGACACAATGTACCCCGTGAAGAGCGGGAGGAGTGGTGAGAGAAGCAATTCGGAACGAACAAGGAAAGGCAACGCTAGACGGGAGGAAAGGAGTTCAGGGGATTGTAGTCGTATCGGTGGGATGCTTACCGCTCAGGCCCAAATACACGCCGTAGATATACTGAGTAAAGCTGGGTTTCGTCAGTACTCTTCGCAACCAACCAAGTCACGGACACTCACGCAGCGAGGTAGAGTGTGTTCCCAACCCATATACAGACCCACCTATCGCGGAGGATAATCGGGAGAAGAAATAGTTGCGCAAGATACAGCGTCAGGTAAAGGGGGAAGAACGCGTTTGTATGCACGTCGAATGCGTACGCCCATTCAACACTCGAGTCTGCAGGCGTTGAATGCGACGGCGGAGACAGCAGAAGTCGATTAGACGTAAACCTGCTAGCGATAAGGACTGTGAAAGCAGAGAATGTAGCTGAAAACGCACCATAATATGGTAGCCACTGCAATCCCCGTCAACAGATAGTCACGTCCCACCATCAACAACGCCAGCCATATTGCCTCCAATACCCCGAGCGAATACACAACTGACCAAGCGACTGCCGACACTGAAGGGGCACGAAATGTAAGTCTCCTCTAGCAGGATCAAACAACGACGCTCACCGCACAAGCACGCGGCGATGAGCACGAGAATAGCAGGGTCATCTCGCGCCCAAGTGTTTTTGGTTTCTGGGGGTGCTCGGTATGAGCGCGGCGAATGCTGAGGAGATTCGTTTACCAACGTTTGTGGAAATAAACATTCCGATACCTGTACAGCACAATTAATCACCGTTCAGCGTGGTCCTGAAACGCGGCACTCACACTCTCTTGGGTGCCAAACAGAGGTATGTCAGCTGCCAGGCAGCAAGCTCAAAGTCCTATTTTCGACACGGGAGTAAGAATAGGAACGATTTGGGGTATTGCGGACACGCACCATCTGCTGAAAGCGATGCAGGCGTCGGAATATGACTGGAACGCGATGCGAGAACGCACCTGGCGTTCTGACACCCGGCGAAGCATCTTCTGGAGAGAATGACATGGGGCTGCTTGGAAGGACCAAGTGGTGTGGCACGCCAACCCTGGTACGATAAGAAGCCAGGTTGATAATGAAAGCTGAGCTCGACGCTGTCGTGGACGGGAACAACGTTGGACTGCGGGTTGTCGGAGTACAGAGTTTAGGTCGCCTCTTCAAGATTATGGCGCAAGAGTCACCAAAGCGGAGATTGAATGCGGAGCGCAGCCCGAAATGTCTGTGTAACGCGGGCCCGTCGAAAAGTCTGCCTTTTCGCGACTCTCCCTCATCCCCTCATCGTACCTGATGGAAGACGACAACGAAGTATTGGACTGGGGAAACGAAGACGACGAGCAAGGTGCGCTAGAGAGAGCCCGTAGAGGTTCTCCTGGTTTTGCAAATTTTGCTACAAACGATGTCGACGACGCAGAAGACGCAGTATCGCTTGGAGGCGAAGAGGAGGATGCCCAGGAGTACGATTCTTTCCACAGACAAGAGTTCTCTTCTGCGGTCTCCGTCGCCCACGCTACCAGCGATACAACATCACGTTCTGAGCCAGTCACTCATGACCACCACCGACACAAAAGCTCGGACAGCTTTCAGAAGAGCGTTAGTACGCCTACCGCGGCCAACCCACCAGCTACTTTACAATCACCTTCGCGCCCTATCATCCATGCACTACCTCCGAAACCCGTTGCAGCTAGCGTTCCTTTCTTGCACCCTTCTCATCCTTCCATCATAGAGGCTACTGCGATGTCCAGGGGCCGTGACAAGAAAACCGGCACGAATGGCGCAGCAAAACCTCTTTCTTCTGCTGAAAGTGCATCAGGGGACGTTACACTGCCTCCCGACTGGGAGATTAGGTATCCTCGCAACGGAGGCCGTGGCCAGTACTATTACAACGTACGGACCCACGAGTCGACATGGGCTCTCCCAGCAAGAAGTACCAGCGAATCCGTAGGTCACAGCAACGGTAACACCGATTCTCTTCGGGCCCGTACTGCGATATCAACACGCGACGAACCAGCCTCTCTTCATGCAGCCCGCAGAAGCCCTCCTCCTGTCCGACTACTTGATTCTTATCGACCTGGACTGCCCTCTCCCCCGCGCCCAAGCCGCGCGCCAGATACCCCTGTGGCAGGCCCTCTCTCATATGAAGATCGTCACTACCGTCCTGGAGAGGATGGTCCAGAAGAGGCTATTGACACTAACAATATCAGTGCAGCGTCTAACACGCGTAACTTGCTTACCCGTATTCCCCCTCGGCGTTCTCGCTCTCCGTCCCCTCGGCCTGCACTGCAGGAACGTGTTAGGGATTCTAGCTCGCGCCAGTCTCGCAGCCAACGGCCTTCTCGCAAATCAGATGTCAGAGATGGGTCGCCGCTTCGCCATTATGTTCCACCTAGGACTCCTCCTGCAGACCAAGGTTATGCTCCTCAAGAATCCTTGTCTCGCAGTGACCGTGATCATCGCGGCGGTCGCGATGCCGAATCTCGTGACAGACGCGGTAATCAGCCCCGTAACCCCGAAATCCGCCCTGCGCAGGAACAGCCAAGTCAACATGCGCACAATGACTCCCATAACGCTCCCGTCTCATCCAGTACGTTATTAGCCTCCCACATCTCTTCCCACCTCCTGTTCCTGTTCTCGTACACGATTTGGGCGTCATCTGCGGTGGGGGCGGCTGTCAGAATGAGACAAGCGCTTCGTTCCGAGGGTGTCGATGAGTGCCTGCTCAAGACCTGGAACAAGCCTTGTTCAGCCGTACCGTAGATCATCCCTTCCCCTCGGCCTCCTCTGTTCGACCCCCGGGACACGCTTCTCATGGACTACCTGCCCCCTTTCTCCCTCCCTTTTCTTCTGTCTGCTCTATTGTCAACCTGTGTGTTCATCGGCCCACCTCTTCTGCTTTGATTGGTTTTAGGGCACAGATCGGTATCGCCACCCGCGCGTTCGCGCGAGCTTCCAGAGGGACCCCCGTCGAAGACCACACCAAGCATTGGCTCGGTGCCTACGTCCGAACCTCCATCGTCTGGGAAAGCAAGAGACAGACCGTCGCGATTCGATCAGCCTGTCGTTACGTCTCAGAAATCACAGCGTTCAGTCACCCCGTCGCCACGACCTGCAGCACAGAACCAAGCGTCATATCCTGCAAAACCGCGCAGCCAAGACATATACATGCCTTCGGCCGACGTCGATATGCCTCCTGCACGACGCGCGCGCGGGGCGCCTCTCCCCGACAGACGTGATCGAGACGAAGCCATCTCTTCTTTCCGTCCGAATGACTCTCATATTGATCATCCACCACAGACACAGCAGCCGTCGTACGCTCAGAGAGACCAAAGAGACCTCGCGCAGCCCGCTCCGCAGCGCGATACGTCGACTACTGCAACTCCAACGAGCACCCCCAGGCTTGGCACACCGCCGTCCGACTCCGCTCCCCGTACGTGCTCGGCCTTGAGGATCATGATCATTCTGCCCGACTGCAAGCTGACGCACCGTTAGGTCGGCCTCGTGCGCCACTTCCGCCGCAGGCTTTGTTGTTTAGAGAGGATGTCCATCAGAAAAAAGCGCAAGCCGAGCAGCCTGCTCCATTCCTACAAAATCCTGCGACTCTTCCGCCAGCGCCGAGGGACCATCCAATTCGTGCAGTTCCGCCCTCTGGTCCTGCTCTACCTTCTGGCCCACGCAGTCGAGATCCTATCCTGCCGCCGTCCATGAGAGACGGCGAATTCCCTGAACCTCGGCGATTCACCAACCAGCCTTCTGGCAATCATTATGACCGTCGTGTGGAACAAGAAAGACGCATAACGGCAGACTCGAGCATGGACGTAGATGTTGACCATTATCCTTCAGCGCCTCGAGGTCGATATGGAAGACCTGCTCCCGATCTCAACTCGCGGCCACCGCCAAATCAAGAAGGTACTTCGGTGGCTGCTGACGCTCCTAGGGGACCTCGAGCTATGGTCACAGTCTCCCCGACACTCCCCCGATCTGCTCATGGTCAGCCACCCACTGCGCCATGGGGGTCCCGTGATCGGTCACCGCCCTCATACACCTCTGGACCTCGTCGGGATCGTGTTGAAGATTACCCAGTTGCGCCTCGCCAGCGTCAAGAACGCCGGGAAGGAGAATTTATTCCGCGCCGAGCTAATGACGGTCCTCCCCCGATTGCTCCTCGAGCGGCTGAGCCCTTTGGGCCCGATCCTTTCGTATGTCTGGTCCCTACTGTCGTGACACATGTTCTGAACATTATTGTAGCCTCGCCGGGAGCCTCGCAGAGCAGGTAGAAGACCTGATACACCGCTGTCTGGGACGAACAATGTCCCCATCGCGAATAAGAGGGCTTTCGTTACGGGGCCTACGGCACCTGGAAAGTTGCCCGATGCCCCCATAGCGGCGGAGCCACCGTCCCCTCCTCGGCAACCAAGTCCTCCTATCATAGCAATGCCGCGGTCTCAGCCTGATTACCCAAGTGATGTTCGAGGTGTCCAAGAAGTAATTATCTTCCTTCCTCTGTTGAGACCGATTTTGACTTAGCCTTCATCAGTCCTCGCGCTCTATGCCAGTAGATGATGAGTACGGATCCGCAAATAGGTATCCTGGAAGGGAGAGACCGCCGTATTCGGACCGAATCCTCGACGTATGTTTTTGACAACCTCAGTTGAACTTGAGCTTACCATTCGCTTAGTCTCGTGGAACCTCAGGAGCTCGCCCACAACGACCGCCTTCACGAGAACATTATTACGATGGCAGACCTCTGGTATTTGATTTCCTTTCATTAGCAGTAGGATCTATGTTTATTTGGTCCATGCAGCCTGTGAATGACTATCCGTCGGATCAATATCGTTCGTCGTCAGCAAGAATGCGTCCTGCAAGGGAGCCCTCCCCTCCGCGAAATGCAAGGCACCCAGACCCCTTCCCTGAAGATCATCGACCCGCCACGCCGCCTCCCCCTTCAAGGGAACCTTCTCAAACATCTACGTCTTGGCCTCAGCAGGAAACCCGCGAACGTTCCCGCTCACCTGTTCAACGTAATCGGAAGTCCCGCTTTGGCGGACCGACAGATATACTTCCTCCTCAGCCTCAACCAGTACCTACGCAAACCTATAGACAAAGCGATTACGAGGAATACGACTCTCGGCGTGGGCCAACTCTCCAGGGGCGGCTGGGCGGTCGCTATCCTGACGAACAGGTAGATGACGATCGGCACTCCTCAGTGCACGCTTCTTCTACCTCTTCACATCATCGGGAGCCGGAGAAGCCCAGCGAGTTTCGACAACCTCGATCCGAGCCTTCGCGGTGGCCTGACCCTCAAGACGAAGGTCATCAAGGGCATCGCTCCTCTAATGATTACCGCACCGCGGAGGCACTGATGAAACCCGCACCCGATGCCAATTTACCGCCTCGACCATCCACCATACAAGAGGAGCCTCGTCGCACGGATGTCGTAGCTCACGAGTCCCTATCCCCCTTGGACAGTCGCAAAAGAAGCCCACTTCCTGTGCGTCCTCAAGCTAAACGAACTGGCGGGTCATTACTCGACCGCTTGTCTCTTGATCGCGGCGGTCGTGATGCTGTCATGTCAGACGACACGCCTTCCCCGTCACTGAGAGAGAGGGTGCAGGTTCCAACCAAGAGGGACAGGGACGAGGTGACGGTGATGGAGAAAGGTGTCTACGAGCGGCCAGCAGACTTCGACGATTTGGCAGATGCTGATATTGCTGCGAAACGGAGAAAGCGGACTGCGAGACCAAAACGCGGAAGACGGGGCGGGAGTTGACTTTCTTTTGTTCTTGCTTCTAGTATGTATATGCTGCTTTAGGGTTTTGTATGAATAGTCGTTCACAACAAGTTTTGTTATCATATTTGAATTTTCGACACCACAAATATGCCTGACACCGTTGGCCATGAGGGCAATTGATTGGTCATCATGCTTTCGGACGCTGGGTGTTCGCTGGGCACCTTCAACTTCAACCTCGACCTTCAACCTCGCCAACCATGGCATTCAACCCACAGCGACCAGTCGTCTCGCAACCCTTAGGCCATGTTTTAAACTACCAGAAAGTAGCATCCTATGCACAGCAACTCCAAGCTAGTACTGGTATGTACTAGTATATCCTGCCAGTTTACAGCAGCACCATTGACTCCTGAGTATCATCAGTCCAGAATAGCGGAGATCCCAAGGCAATCGCGGAAGCTGAGGTCGCCGCAATCCAGCTGGCCACGTTCGTGCGAATTGAGGAAATCCCTAGTATGTTTCTTTTGTCCTCATTAATCACTGTTGACTAAGCCACATAAGATACCCCGGGTCAGCAGGGCATGTTGAAAGAGGTGAAGGAGCTAATGGCCGAAATGCAGATGAAGCTGGATCAGAGGCTTACCACAATCGATACCAAGTTAGACACCTTCGCTACCCTTGAGGTGCTCGAAAACAGGTTCACCACCATTGACATGAAGCCCGACACATTCACAACCTTTCAGGCACTTGATACTAGGCTTGATGGTACCGACACTCACTTCGGCCGCCTTGAGAAGAAGGTTGAAGATATGAAAACCAAGCTTGGCATCCTCAACGACCTCGAGGAAAATATCTGTGAGCTTGCAAATCAAGTATCGAGTAACAAGAAGTTGGCCTCGTCTGTTCTCATCACTGCGATACAAGTAGGTTCATCATGCTCTCAATTTCTGATTCTAATCTATTTAATCTACAGGCTCTGAATGGCTCATGTGATAATGGCCTTCTCCGTAACTACCAGGAGGTACAATTCCCTGATGGCACATACCCCAGCCACGTCGATGTGAGTCGAACATGGCCTTTTCTTTTTTCATACTAAAAAGATTGCAGGTTGCTAGTCGGAATGTTCTGTTGAAATCAGCCCACAGGGACGTCACGACGAAGCAATACAGTGGGTGCTCGTTGCAATCCAGGAGGATCCAGGAGTAAATACAGTACTTAAATACTTAGTTTACCTACTAAATTCCATGCAAGATGCCTGTCTGTGATAACACTACAGTAGCACTGGGCTTGTAGTAGCTTGCCACTAGCCCAAAATCCAACATGTTCAAGGACAATTCCCACTTATTAGGACAATTGAAGCCCTTGTCAGGCTTCCACCAGTCACCCTCCGAGCTTACCTCGAGAGATATGGGGTTGCTACGGATGGACTCTCGGAGCAGTCGCGCCGGTTTGCGTTGGGCCGATACGTTGGCATCAATGAACAAGCTTTGAGACTCAGACTTGGCCCCTTGTAGCTCTCAACTTGGACATTGTTCGTGTGTTCGCCTCCTTTGGACATTTCGTGTATTCATGAATGTGTATGTAAAATTGCATTGTTCGCACCTCGCTGTTTCTCAGAACGACCTTATGTCCCAATTAAGTAGTAGTTTCGCTCGAGGCACATATGTACTAGACAAGATGTTCCCACGGTCAGAATCTTCGTTACAACCAACTAGTGGCGACGATCCGCAACGCAGACACCGTCCTCGGTGCTTTCAGAATATGTCATGGAAAATGGCAAAATGGAGCGCATGTCCATTGCGTGAGTCTTCATTGAGCTGGCCAAGTACAAGGTGCCTGACATATGTTGTATCGTAGCATGATCTCCGATTTCTTCTACCCTGTGGTCGGCGGGGTGGAGAACCACATCTATATGTTGAGCGCGAATCTTATCCAGCGGGGGCACAAGGTACCGTACATTCTCGAAATTCAGGCGATTTTGACCATGACTCAAGCTCAGGTCATCGTAATAACTCACAGTCACCCTCCCGACCGAGTTGGAATACGCTGGCTCTCACCTTCTCTCAAAGTGTACTATATCCCCTTTCCTGCGATCGCCTCGTCAGCGACTCTGCCCAACTTCTTCACGTTCCTGCCGTACTTCCGCACTATCGTCCTCCGTGAGCATATCACCCTCATACACGCGCACGCCAGTCTCTCGTCGCTAGGCCACGAAGGCATCCTTCACTCTCACCTGATGGGCATACGCACGGTGTTCACCGACCACAGTTTGTTCGGTTTTGAGGACGCTGCTAGTATTCTGACAAACAAGCTGCTTGTGGGCACTCTCCGGAACGTGGACGCCGTTATTTGCGTCTCGCATACTGGGTGCGTGTATTTGTAGCAACCAGAGCATGTTTCGCTAACGACTTGGATCGACGCCTTTAGCCGGGAAAACACTGTACTTCGCGGAGAGCTGTACGAGACCGACGATACCAATCCACATTCCAAACGAATCGTAGTCAACCCAAACGTCTACGTGATCCCCAATTCTCTCGTCGCCGACAAGTTTAGGCCATGTCATACCCCTCGACGCAGCGACGAGAGTGCGTCTTCCCTTCTTGAATGATTTTCAGATGCTGAAGCACGCGTTTGAACAGTAACAATCGTCTTTCTATCTCGATTAGCTTATCGCAAAGGGATAGACATTCTAGTCGCCGTTGCGCCTCGAATCTGTGCTGCCTTCCCTCAAGTGAAGTTCGTTGTAGGCACGTACACGTCACATTTCTCGATGGTGACAGATCCTCATTCCCGCACATAGGCGGTGACGGCCCGAAACTCATCAATCTCCTCCAAATGCGAGAGCGGCATCGTTTGCAAGATCGCATTGAACTCCTTGGATCCGTTCGCCCCAGCGACGTTTGCTCAGTTGCGTATCCTAACTCATCGCCCATCTACTATATTAAACACAACGTCTCTAGGTGTTGAATCGTGGCACGATATTTATGAACACATCGTTAACCGAGTCATTTGGCATATCAATCCTCGAGGCGGCGTGCGCAGGCTTATACGTCGTTGCTACGCAAGTCGGAGGCGTTGCTGAGATCCTTCCTGAAGATATGATTAGTTTTGCTAATCCTGATGAAGACGGTGCGTATCTATATCTCTCTTCCCTCACCAGCGTAAAGGAAGCCCACTGACATCCTTGAGTGATGGTTAGACGTTTTCCGAGCAGTTTCCGAAGCGATTGAGATCGTCTCGGAGGGCAGACATGATCCGCAGCAGGCCCATGAGCGTATCAAGACGTTTTACAACTGGGAAGACGTGGCTGAGCGCACGGAGATTGTATATTCTGCCGCTCTCAACTCACCTCAAAGAGACTTGATGGAACGCATGCGCAGGTGAGTTTTCTGCCATGCCATCCTTCTGCAGAGGTGATTGAACGTTAAATGTCCCCCCAGGACGATGAAACTTGGACCGTTTGCCGGGCCAATATATACCATAATACTGATTGTTGACTGTCTCTTCTTTTTGTTTCTTGAATGGTGGTCTCCCCGAGAGGACTTAGACTTCGTTATGGACCATCCACGCCAATAGAGGACCTCTTTGTCTTTTCCCAGCCCAGGATGAGCATGTGCGAGACACTTTCCAAGGGGCACATGGTGTAGTTGGTTTATCACGCCCGCTTAGCATTGGCTGAGCTGCGGGAGGTGTTGGGTTCAATTCCCAATGTGTCCAATCTTTTGCATCGATTTAGTATTAGTACCCTTGACATGCGGCGTGGACTCTAAATTGTATTATCATCGACCTAGAGCCTCTTTCAACAGTCCATCTACTGCCATCTGGGCACTTGTTCGTAGTTTCCCTTCTCCCTCTTTCCCGTCATTACCTCCCTCATTGGAAAAAGGCCCGAACCCAAATCCCTCCCGCTCAGATATCCGCCGGACATTCTCGTCTCCCCGTACCCAATCTCCTTCTAGCTTTTCCTCCTTCCACCAGGCCACCGCGTTCTCTCGAAGCTGAGGCACCCGCATGACCGCACCTCGTGTGTATTTGACGAGGTGTAGCCGAGAGAGCCCCCGTTCCATCACCGAGATGGTCTGAGGCAACATCATGAACGGATTGCTCTCGCTCTCCGGTGTTCCGCGGAGCAGATGGATGCCTAATGGAAGTACTATGAAGAGGGCCTGTCGGGCGACGTAGAGTACGTCATGCCACTGGGATCCCATGTTTCAGTTCAAAACGCCAAGATTCTTGCACGAGTTTCGCTGCTCACCATTGTCACGTCGTTCGGCTCTCCCCTCCGCGGTACTTTGACGGGTACCGTGCTGATCCAGTACCCTTCGGCCAGAGCTGCCGCTACGAGTACCCCCAGTCCAATTGTACGCAGTCGTTCGCGCTGAGTCCCACTGATAGTCACGGCACCGACAACCGCCCCCTCGTATATATAAGACCGCAGGGGTTCGAGGATCGCGTATATTGCGAATTCGTCATATGTTGTGCAGTATTCGCATGTCTGTAAAACGTGCTGCCCGAACCTAGAAACAAAATACAAAGTTCAGATGTCGCGCCGGGCTTCATATGCATCCTGCGACGTACCGCACGAACAGTGTTCGATGGTCGAACAGGCTCAACCGCTTCAGCAGCAGCTCAAGGTGTTTCGGGAAAGCCCCTCCATTGTTCAGATCAGTGCCGGAATATTTCGCGAGGATCTCACGTATCCTGTCCGTCGAAGTGTTCAGCGGTATATTGAGCCTTGTGAAGATGTTCGCGGGTGGCGTCACAAGAATCCTGTAGAGGATATACAGCGTGTGGAGTAGGAGTAGGATTGAGATGTAGGGCCGTATGGGTGGTGAATTTTGGGGTGGGTGGTGTCTGCTTTTCCCGGTCAGATATATCCATGGTACAGAAACGAGGAGGGAGGTCAGCAGGTATGCATCTAGTGATGCGCTAAGGAAAGGCATGAATGAAAGAGTTTAGCGCCCATTCAGCGCTTTTACCCTTCATACGACTCAACCGCCATGATCTTCTGGCCACGACGTCCTCATCTTCATATCGATCTATGGAACAGCCGTGAACGCCTCTCGTCTATTCCAACCTTGTTGAAAAAATTGCACGAGACTGTTTGCTAACGACCCAACAACCTGTACTATGGTGATCATTTTGACTAGTACTGGGTCGCACAGGATATTCCACAATTTCGTTGAACGTCTCAACCTCATGCTACGAAGTACCCCAATGAACTCACGGAGAATACCATCTACGACCATTTTCTCTCTCCTAGGTAATACGGCATAATGAAGCTTCGCCTGGATCGTGATTGCTTCTGGTATCTCTGTGCTGGCGGTGTCTTACTTCTTGCAAGCAAAACAAAAATGACGGGTGCAACAACCCCACGGGCTCGGCGTTACCTTCTTGACACACTGTTGATGGACCGGCGTGCACCCACACTGCTCCGGCGCGGCCAACGACAGCGGGGTCTCGCATCCGAAGAACCCAACGGCGGGTGCAGCCCATATCCTGGGCCCCGTCTTATCAAGATCTAAGACAAGGCGGGGGTTGCTGCCTGAGTTCTGTATTTTGTTCAACCGACGAGGCCAGGGAGGAGCCAATCGGTACCCAAGGAGTGATGCTCGCCGTTTGCTGGACCTCCGTCCTAGGATGGATTCGTCTGGACAACCCGCCCCCCCCTAAATCAACCGTTTGTCATCCCGCTATTTGAGAATACCTTAGGACAGTAATCAACCTTCTATATCAGTCGCTTCCTGGGCTACTACGATACAGAGAAGATATAGATGTAACGGCCGTGGGCTGGGTCGCGTCTTGCCTTGGGCTATAGTTCTCAACCTCGCCAAGGAACCACCACCGTTCGGATACCTCCCCGTTTACTGAACTTTGACACCCAGGGCGATGTCTACCTCTAGGTGGCAATTATGTCCAGCCTGTATTCCGCCACCTTCCTCCTCAATGATACAACCCCTCCTCACTATTACTCAAACGACCTCCCCTACCGCGAACCGCCTTGCGTAGTGAACGAGTGATTGAGCCCGCCTGACAGGCAGAATGGGCCGCTGGATATACATATAAGCGTCGCTCCGCGCTTGCGCCGGGTGCTAAATTACTCGCGACTACTTTCCGCACTAGTGGCAACCAGATATAAGTCTAAACGCCTGCATGATGTGGCAGGCCTCCGACCCCTCTTTTCAATGGCATTCTCTACTCTCGTCCGGCTCGCCATTGTCACATTCGCCGTCGGGTCCGCCATTGTCGCTGGTTCACCCCACCTCGAAAGCCGGGAGTCGGACACAACAGACGCGACGTACGTCCTCACTCGAATGCAGTCAATGCTCATCTCACGCATCGATTCGTAGCATCGAATTTGGGTGTGAATACAACCAGAAGGTAAACCCGGGCAAATGTTGGCGGATGTGTGATGGCAGCACGTCCTCGAAGCCGCTATGGTGCTACGCCCAGAAGAAGAAGCCGATCGCTTGCAACAACGCGGCGGCGTGTGGCTTTGACTGGCCTTGTTTAGGCCCTTGCACCGCGAGCTACTATCCCGAGGGACCCAGAGGTACGTCTATGCTGCTTTGGAAGAAGATGCACCTCCCTTATCACAACGCAATAGCTTCGAAAGCCAAAAAATGACCGTAGTTTTATGATTGTAACAGTACCGTTCTATATCCCTAGCGATCCTCGTTGGAGCGCGATGTACACTCCCATGTGCGGAACACTTTCGTCGGCCTTATGGTCTAGTAGTATGATTCCTCGTTTGGGCGATGAGCTGATTCGAGGAGGTCCTGGGTTCAACTCCCAGTGAGGCCCTTTTTGCTCGGCTCTTCGTCGTTACTACGGCAATATATTCGACGAATATCTTCCAGTTACTGACTATATCATGGCAAATGACCTCTCACAGACCCACATGGCCTATGTCGATCCATGTAAGGCCATATATAGCCAGGGCTCATTGATGCCTCGGATACAACATCAAAAGATAAAAAGGCTGGACACATTGGGAATTGAACCCAACACCTCCCGCAGCTGAGCCATTGCTAAGCGGGCGTGATAAACCAACTACACCATGTGCCCCATGGGAGTTCATCCATTCATGCTTGTCAAGGTCGAAATTCGCCCTACCGAGGTGGATCAGCCTGAGATCCTTATCTCGTTCAAGACTCGAGTCCAATCGATCACCACAGAACTATCATAGAGTCGCGCATAGAGTGCTGGTTTACGAACCTACACAGAAATTCGACTTGATTATTCACGACGAGCATATATCTGACAGTACTAGCTAGGTAAGGATCCTTTTTTTTTGTCCGAGATTCCTTCTCAAAAAAGCTGTTATCTGCTTCTCCAGCAGCCTTCATTCCAAGCGACTGGCATCCGACGACGACAAAACCAGCAATGCCACCGATATTGCCCCCAGAGATATTCCAAATCATTTTCGAAAATGTGGATGACAGAAAGACACTCTGCCATATCCTCATCACCTCGCGACACCTTTGCCAGCTGGTCGAACCACTTCTATACACACGAATACGCATTTCCCAGCATTCTTTTATTCCGATACACTCCATGAGACTTCATAGTCTCCTTGAGGGCCTCGAGACAGGGAGGAGAGCACGTTACGTACGAGACCTCTATCTTGGGGCCGATGTGACGATGCCCGGAAGCTGCACCCTTATCGACAAAATCCTAGTGAAGACGACCCATTTGGAATGTCTTACCCTGCAGCTCTTCAATTCCGATTCCTCATCTGGGTGGCGTTTCGCTCTCTTCCAACGAAGACTAACATTCAACCTCACAAGTCTCACACTTTCCAACTGCGGCTTGTATCTCGATCACGCCCTACTCCATCTCTTGGAGTCGCAGACATCCCTTAAAATATTGAACCTTGGCTTTCCTCGCGGGCATGAGTATGGATACGAGTTTTCTCCCACATCCTTTCCCAACCTCAAAGTTCTGAGCACTCACTCGTCCCTTGCCTCCACCTTTCTGCGCACCTCTGCCCGGATCACACGTCTGCAAATATCGGGCTCCACACGTCCCCCACATTCTGATATCACAGACCAACACTGCGCAGACACCGTGCGGACGCTCTCGTCCCAGATCTCAATTGACCCCAAAACAGGGATCGCCTTTGCGTCCCTACTTCCCAATCTCGAGTGGTTTTCTGGAGCCATAGATAGCGCGGAGCAGCTGGAGCACCTGCTTACCCATAACCGTAAGCTTCGCGGTGTTCGCATCGTCGGTTTCATGCCTTCATCTTGCTCCGGAGACAAGATACACCGGCTCTTCGGCACTCTGGCAACTCTGCAGTTCTTGGAGTATGGCGGGAGTGACTATAAGCCATACCGTTGGTACCGCGGTGCGACCGCACCGAGCCGGATCCGATGGTTGTGTGAATATGATTCGAAGTGGCTTGCCGATTGGGAAGAAGATGTGGTCAATGTTGAATCATGATGGCAGTGGAGATACCACAACTCTCGGACGCCTGTTCAACCGATCTGTGACGGTGTTCTAACTTATGTTGCTCAATCTACTTCCACCAGTTCGTGCTTCTGGAGAGCTGAAATTTGGTACCAATAGTATCTCGTAGAGCGCGCCCCGGGGGGTTAGGGTCGGCAGTACAACAGGGTATGATCGATTGATCGATGACCGTGAGTTGTTACAATGACCCGAAAGATCGAGCCCGCTTTAGAGGGAATATCCTTCCGTTGGCATTGAAGGGTGCT